ACTTTATCGACGAAAATTCAGAGAAAATATTTTACAGCTCCATTTCACCTTGAATGCTTTCCATCTAATCTACAAAACAATGAGCTTTATATCGCCAGGCTGTCGAAATTTCTCATCCTATTTATTCTATTTATTTTAAACCACTTCACCGCTTTATTGTCTTTAATCTAAATTCAATATTAAGCCCGGTTAACCGTATTCTTTATCACCACTAATATTTGCGCTTAAGCTTATCGAAGCGTGATGGATTTATAAGAAAATTATGTCTTAGATTTCGTCGATTTCACAGGTACTACTCATAACTTCTGTCTCGTTTGGGTGTAATAAAATTTCTACTCTGACACTAGTTAATTACTCGCAAGGGCATAATCTTAGTGGATCTGTCTATTACTTCTATTACATGATTATTAGACGAAATGAATAACCTCCTAAACATTAATGCAGTATGTTTCTTGCCTTTTCCTCATTCCTCTTCTACGATACTTAAACTTTACTAATCCTTCATGGAAATTGTTGTTACAGTTATTTTCCCACTATAAGAGTGAGAGCCGTAGTTACGCAATGTTTCGAGCTGTTCTTTCCACTATGAGCTATTTAGATCTTCAAAGATTACGCAATATGGCTTTTGCTCTGTTTTGTATTTGTATTAAAAAATTATATAGCATTTAGCTGCACTTTTTGCGAGATCTATTTTATATTCAATTGTTAATCATGAATTTATTTCATGCATATATGTATTAAACCCCATTTAGGTTCGATCTTTCACCATGAGTCTGATACAATCTTTTGCCTATGGAAAACTTTAAGCTAGCAAGGGAATCACATCTCATCTGAACCCACTCTCAGCTTGCTTTGGAGGAGTGCTTGCTGATGTAATGCTTAGCCTTGGCCTGGTTGTCCATTCAACCCCACAGTGTGTATGCATTTGGATTTGCAACGGACTTTAAAGTTCGCTTACTTCTGGAGCATAGCAAGCTTTCCCTCCACATAGAAGGGGTACAATTCGGAACCATCTTAGCGTGTCTGCAAAATAGTTTTCGGCTTACGACTATTTTCTGTATAGGTTTCATCATCTGCCTTCTGCCATCTCTGTAGCTGCTAAAGCATATATAACAATATTCTACTAGTGTAAGTTTGCGGACTAAATTGTGCATTTGTCCGCCGTCAGTTCGCCTGTTGTGACTGATAAAGGGAGTTGAACTGAGCCCATTCAATTCGCAGGTCCAGGTCAGCCGAATCTATATAATTTCGGCAGACTGTATATTGTTAGTGTTATATATATATGTATATGTATGTAAGGGATGAGATATTATGT